GGCACGGAAGCCACGAGGGGCCCTGGGAGACCCTCGAAGGCCCTGAGGGGCCTTCGTGTGCCCTAGAGTGCCTTGGAAAGGCCTTGGTAGCCCCAGGAAGCCCTAAGAAGCCCTGGGAAGCCACGGGAAGCCCCAGTACGCCCGAAGAAGCCCGAGGAAAGCTTGGGTAGCATAAAAGTTGCCTAATGTGACCCGGGGAACCCTGGGGAGCCCCGGGGGGCCCAGGGAAACCTGGAAGACCCTCAAAATCCCATGACGGCCCGGAGAATCCTTATGAGGCCCTATGGGGCCCTAAGAGGCCCCGGAAAAGCCACCAGCTTTTCCTCCAGCGTCGGCCCTTAGCTTTGGCTCTTGTCTTGGCACTAGCTTTGGCTTCAGCTTTGGCTCTAGCGTTGGCCCTCGGGTTGGCTCTTGGTTTGGCTCAAGCTTTGGCACTTCTTTTGGCTCCAGCTTTCACTCTTGCTTATCCAGCTTTAGCCCGGGCTTTAACTCACGTTGCAGTATATATACCGGGCCCAAAAATCACCTACTAGGATAATGATCCGGCGAATCCCCTTTTGCCTTAGGGTTCCCTCGGCGGGAATAGGAACGGCATGATGTCGCGATGGACCCGGCGTTGGTTGTGAAACAAAACCGATTAAATACTCATTGCCTAATCAAATCGATATCAAAAACTTTCAGATCAGCGATAATTTCGATCCCTGGCCTAGGAGGAATTACTAACTCATTTCTGACAGTGTTGTCATGACCGTCTTAATTCCTCTCAGAGTGATGTAGTGGTAACATCAGTCGTTGCCATCGACTGTCCCCGGGTCCGATTCCCGGCTCTGAGAATTTTACGCGTGTGCGGTCGTGGCCGAGCGGTCTAAGGCGCTAGTTTCAGGTACTAGTTCGTAACAGAGCGCGGGTTCGAACCCCGCCGACCGTAACGGGATCTTGGCCGAGCGGTCTAAGGCGCTGCATTCAAGTCGCAGTTCTTCACAGAGCATGGGTTCGAACCCCATAGATCTCAAAAGAATGGATTTATCCACTTACCGGAGGATTACCATCCCTATCACGCGTCAGACCGGGATTCACCTCCCCGACAGTGATTCATAAAAAATGTGCGGTTTTGGCCGAGCGGTCTAAGGCGCTAGTTTTAGGCACTAGTCTTCGGGCGCGGGTTCGAATCCCGCAGACCGTAAAACCCGTTTCATGCTATACATAGCGTGTTCGAGTTCATGCAGCTGTAAGAATTCGCCCCCTTGGCTCAGTCGGTAGAGCGTTAGTCTCATAATCTGAAGGTCAACAGTTCGATCCTGTTAGGAGGCATGGTTAACCCCGATTTGCCGAAATCTGTATTCTAGTATAATACCTGGAAATACGAAATTTTGCTTTCGCGGCCCGATGGATAAGGCGCATATTTACAAATCGTGCGATTACGGGTTCGATCGAGTCCCGGCGCCGGTTGAGCTCGATTAGTTTAGTTGGTCATAACGTGTGCTTCACACGCACAAGGTCTTGGGTTCGAACCCCAAATCGAGTAATACTAACAAGGTCTTGCCAGCGTTGGGTGTTTGGTCTAGTGGTATGATCCGCGCTTCGGGTGCGTGGGGTCTCCGGTTCGATTCCGGAAACACCCCTTTCTTGGGCTTTTGGTCTAGTGGCATGATCCTCGTTTTGGGTACGAGGGGTCTCGGGTTCGATTCCCGAAAAGCCCCGTAGATACCCAGTAACACCCGGATTATTAGCTCAGGGGCAGATCGATCGCTTCGCATGCCATAACCTGTTGAGTTGAGGTCTAGTAGATCAACGGTAGATCGTCAGATTCCAGTCCTGAAGGTTGCGTGTTCGAATCACGTCTGGATCAGATTCCTGCCACCAGCCGGGTCTATGGCCTAATGGATAAGGCGCTTGCCTCCGGAGCAAGAGATTCCGAGTTCGAATCTCGGTAGACTCTTCTTGTTCGCGTCTTTTGATATATGTCATCATCACAGCAACTACAACGGCCTAGCTAGCTCAGTCGGTAGAGCGCACGACTCTTAATCGTGTGGTCGGGGGTTCGAGCCCCCCGTTGGGTGCATTTCGACATGGTGATCCTCAGTCGGTAGAGCGCGCACTGAGCATGCGCGGAATGTCGAATTCGATTCTTGATGCTTCCAGAAATATATCAATTATTCACCAGCTAGCGTGGCCCAATGGACAAGGCGCATGACTACGAATCATGAGATTCCGGGTTCGAGTCCCGGCGTTGGTTTACACATTGCTCGGGTGTTTGGTCTAGTGGTATGATCCGCGCTTCGGGTGCGTGGGGTCTCCGGTTCGATTCCGGAAACACCCCATTTCTTGGGCTTTTGGTCTAGTGGTATGATCCTCGCTTAGGGTGTGAGGGGTCTCGGGTTCGATTCCCGAAAAGCCCCGGTATTACCCGGTATTACCTGGTATGGGGGATTAGCTCAGGGGTAGAGCGATCGCTTCGCATGCGATAGGTCGCGAGTTCGATTCTTGCATCCTCCATCAAATAATGTGTAATAATGGCCTAGCTAGCTCAGTCGGTAGAGCGCACGACTCTTAATCGTGTGGTCGGGGGTTCGAGCCCCCCGTTGGGTGATCGTACTGGGTAATACCCTGCATGGGGGATTAGCTCAGGGGCAGAGCGATCGCTTCGCATGCGATAGGTCGCGAGTTCGATTCTTGCATCCTCCATCCATTGTGAACAGAGCGTCTAAAGTGGACGACACTGTCGGGGGCATAGCTCAGCTGGTAGAGCGCGCGCTTAGCATGCGCGAGGTCTCGAGTTCGATTCTTGATGCCTCCACTTTGAAGCAAAATTGCCGGGATTATTATTGAGCACTCTCAAACTTTAAGGATCCGAGGTCCGTTGCGAGGTCCGTTGGTTTTTGCCGTCTGTTGGCGAGGGTCGTACTTTCACGGGCACACAAGATGCCTCGTGGGGAGACTATGCTCCGCTAGCTCAGTGGTAGAGCACCTCCCTTGTAAGGAGAAGGCCCACGGTTCGATCCCGTGGCGCAGCTTGCAGGGAGTAAATCGTGGGGTTAGCTCAGTGGTAGAGCGTTCGATTGCAGTTCGAATGGTCACCTGTTCAATCCAGGTACTCCACTCTTACGGTCTCATAGTCTAGTTGGTTAGGACTGTGGGTTCTGATTCCACCAGCCTGAGTTCGAATCTCGGTGAGACCTTTTTTTTCGCGTCGGAAAGCACTATTTTTGCCTTTTCACCAAGAGTCCATGGGCGATGAGCCAGGGCTTTTCCGCGGAGGCGCGGCTCCGGGGGAACGTGGAAGTTGTCTCCCGAGGCATCGATTCAAAACCATTAAACACCCGGGAAACCCGCGCGTGGAGACGCGCGGTATCTGGCACGATGGGTTTGGCCTTTTTTTTTTTTTGGTTGAAGGAATGATCCCCCCTTACTCGTGACAAACGTCCACCGCTTCGTCCACGCCTTGCTCTGCAGCCGGGTATCAATCTAAGGGCGGGTTTTGAGGGGAGGTTTGCACGATCTTGGGGCACGTTTGGGCTTGACGCGCCTTTGCCATCGACATCGACCTTCCCAAAAGTCCATAAACCCCGGCCAAAAATCGAAGTACGAAAACAAAAAGCGGGAAAATCAAAAAGAACGAAAATCCCACTCTTAACCCCTCCCAGTTTGTGCACACCAAAAATTCCGACTTCCCGCCGAAAATCGTAGATTCTGGGCTCCATTTCAACTGAAATGGAGCCAATAACCTTGATTTTCACATGAAATAGAGTCAAATCTCTTGATTTTCACACGAAATTGCTGGATTTTTATTATTGATTGACGTTTTGAAAATATTGAAAAAGTCCAAAATTTTTAAATTATTTCCCGCCTGCAGCTCCTGAGAAACGGAACAGCGAAACCGAAAGTGGGCTTTCCCGTGTGGTGCAAACCGGGAAGTTGCCTGAGTCGTCCAGTACGCCCTCCTCGAGGCTGATCATTCACGGACACCCCGGGGGGGGGGAAGCTCATAGCGACCACGCCCGCGCCCGCAGGCGGCCTCTGAGAGCCAAAACTTTGCGTCACTTGAGACCGGTTTCATCGCCGATGCCTCTTGTAGGCCCGCAGGCGGCCTCTGAGAGCCAAAACTTTGCGCCACTTGAGACCGGTTTCGTCGCCGATACCCCTTGTAGGCCCGCGTCCTCGTCGGGCGCGTCCCATCCGCCAGATATACTCGGTGTCCTCTTTCTACGGAAATCTGCGAATCTCTCTTTCTCGCTGCTCGTCCACGACACGCGTCGCGCAAGCCACCCCCTTCTTCTTCTATTTTGCACTCCAAGCCCCTTCTCCTACTAACACAGTTTGGACTCCAAGTCCCCATGGACACGGCACTGGCTTTGGCGCAGTGGACCCGGGCGACGACACGATCCTCCCCCTCGCCGGCGGCTTGCGCGTCGCGGCGTACGAGCCCTTGGACCCGCACCAGCCCGACGCCCTCGGCGTCGCGGAAAAGGCGTTCTCCGCACACGCGGAGTACGACTAGTACCTTACAGACGCGAACTATACGTGCGACGGCAGCGGCGGCTTCCACCAGACGCACGCACGACGCCACCGGCTTCGCGTCCTACGACGGTTTCAACCTCAAGCCCCCCGCCTACGACGGCCTCCACCCGACGCCCGACGTCGACGGCTCCCAATCCCAGGACGGCCCCCACTTTGGCGCCACGACGTCCTCGCGGTGCCACCGTGCGCCGCACTCGACCCACCGCACCGGCAACAGCAAGGAATATCCATGGCCTGATTGCAAGGTGGGTAAAAACTTAAAGGCGCGTTTTAATCAAATCTCTCAAAACGCCGTTTAAAACATGTTCCCAAAACAGGGCTTAAACAGATGTTCTGTGTTTCCCGCCGTGGCGTCGCAAATTGCGGCCGCCGGCCGGGCCCCTGTCTACCCGCGTAGACCCCGTGGAGAGATGAATAGCTCAAATTGGGATACTATATTAGGATTAAATCCGCGGCATCTCGCGGTATCTCGGCGGCATCGCAGCGACCGCGCGGCCGCCGTCGCTCGTGCGCGCCTCACGACTGGGAGGACGTAGCGCACAGGTGGCCCACGTTGGCGAAGACGTAAGTCTTGCTGCAATGCACGCAGGTGCACTTCTGGCGGGACTTCGTCTTGCCGCCATCTTCGTACATCTCCTCCTCCAGGAGGATGTGCCCGTGCACCGGGTCCCGCGCGCGTCCCGACATCGGCCTCTGTGCGTGGCGGGAGCGGCCACCATCGCGGCATCAATATATACCGGGCTTCACAATCACCTACAAGGATAATGATCCGG